TATATATACCTATATAAATATATTTATTTATAAATGTATTATAAATGCATAAATATATATAAATATTTGAACAATATTAATTATACATTTATACATAATATTAATATATTTATACATTTATATTAATTATATTAATACAGTTATACATAATCATCATATATATTTATAAATTATAAATTATACATTTATATAATATTCATTTATAATATATACATTTAAATTAATTATACATTTATAAATATATGTATATTATGTATTATATATAATATAATACATTTATATATTTTTATATAAATATATAAATATATTTATTTATAAATGTATTATAAATGCATATAAATATTTAAACAATAAAAATTATAAATTATAAACAATATTAATTATACATTTATACATAATATTAATTCATTTATAATTTATACATTTATACTAATTATACATTTATACATTTATAAATATATGTATATTACGTATTATATATAATATAATACATTTATATATATTTATATAAATATATAAATATATTTATTTCTAAATATTTATAAATGTATTATAAATGCATAAATGTTTAAAAATATAAAAATATAAAAATTATAAATTATAAACTACTCAAAAATATGTTTTAAAAATACCTCTAAAAATAATCCAAAAAATGTCTACAGTAACATTTCAAAAACTTCTACAAAAAAGTTTTTCACCTTACAAAAACTTTTACAAAATTTTTTCAAAAACTTCTACAGTGCACTACAGTAAAGTTTTAGACAAACTCCCAAAAAACTCAGGTTCCAAACAGGCCCAATAATATGTTGGTAATGGAGGTAGTAGTTAATTCATTCATTGTACGGGCAGTTTATAGTCGTAACTCGCAAGGAAGGTTGGTATTTTTTTTTTTATCGGTAACGATACATTTGTATAAATTATTCTATCATAATCTAGGGACGGACAGTTTATAGTCGTAACTCGTAAGGAAGGTTGGTAATTTTTTTTTTTATCGGCAACGATAAATTTATATAACCTATTCTATCATAATTTAGGGGAAGGGGGAGTCTAAGGAGACTGTAGAATGGGCTAGTGGATATATAAATTCAACTAGATCAAGAGAATGTTATGATATGATTCTTAAATTTTTTTCGCTGCAGGTGAGATTCGAACCTTCACCTACAGTTCAAGGAATGTAGGTGAGGGCAGTGGCCAGTGGTTGTAAGGAATGTTGGTCCGCTTTTGACAGTTTTTTTTTTTTTTTGGTGTCCTGCACTAAGCCCTCTGTTTTGCTCTTTTCACGAAACCGATTGTGACGGAAAGGTAAGAAGAATTACAGTACTGCTATGCTCTGTGGATTGACTTCTGTGTTTTTTTTTTTGGGTTTTACCAACACAGCAGTTCTATTCAACTCAACAGATAAATGGTTGAGACTTGGGATCCGAGAGCATTTTTATTCTCTAACCCGACCCTACCTAGCTAAACGGTCAATTCACTACAAACAAGAATGCTATGGTGTTCAAATTAGAAACAAAGTGCAAGAATTAGTCTGTTTTGGAATTGCAAAGGTTATACGAGGATTGAAGTTTTGGAAATTTGGAGATGTCGTTTTTCTTAATTTTTTTAGCATAAAAAGAGATGATTTCTCCCATTGACTAAATTTAATGTATGTAATTGCTAACATAAGTGCAGATCTTTTTTGAAATCGATGAAATAATTCTTGTTATTTAAATTAATGAAATGATTATTGCTGTTTTTTAAAAAGGTAATTAATTAGTTAAGCAGCAATATCTACTTCAAAGTTAAGCAATAGCTATTCGGTTGAGGAGAAGCCGTGGGTCCTATTTTTCTCCTTTTGTTTTTTCTTTTCTATTTTCGGCTTTTCTTTTTTATTTTGATTGAGGAGAAGCTTTTTGGCTTTTCGTTTTCTAAGACGCTGCTTGATAATTTAATTTTACACGTAAATTTAATGGATTCATATATTAACATATTTAGACGAGTAATACTGAATTTTCTAAACAAAATCTACTCAAAAAAATAAGTGATAAGTTATTCACTTATCACTTAATATGATGTACATTCAAATGTATTAAATTTAGTACTTAGCAATTCACTAATTTAAATGGATTTAGATTTCAAATATCAGACTTTAGATTTTAGTTTTTGAAGTTCATATCAAACGCATCCTAAATTTAATTATCCAATCGAGATAATGGTTCTTTTAGGCAATTTGATCCACGGTCCTTGCGATCATGGGTTTAGCTAGGCTGAGCACTGCTCGTCTGACACATTCGAGTTGTTGCTGGGCCGCGTGTATCAAAAAAGTGTCAAGGCTGACTCTGGACCCAATACTTAGGCCTAGCATTTAAAGCTTCCCGTACACTAGCCATGTCTTAGCTGAGCCCGTTTTTAAACTACTCAAGCTGAATGATTTGGGGTGTCATCCCCTTAGATGTCTCCCACATCAGGGTTGGGAGGGTTTGGGTTGGTAGTTATAAGTCTCTTGTGGGATCTCAAAGGATACCGGCTTTTGGGGTTCCCTTGGGGTTTAGGTTTGTAAAAATTGACGTAAGTTCTTTGGGTTTCGAAAGAAAAAAAAAAAGCTGAATGATTTCTCTGTAGGTTAATATGTGGTAAATAAGTTAAAAGAGTATACGTCCTTTTTTTATATATAATGCACAAGCACAAGCAAAGGGTTTGATGTTAAAAAATCTATCATTATTTGCTATTTCCATTTTATCCTCGCATGATGGAGTAATATGTCTTTCTATATATAATGCACGAGTAGTAGATTTGGTGTTTAAAAAAATTTTGTCATTATTTGTTATTCTAATTTTATCCTTGCATAGTGAAATAATAATATATAACTATCTTATGTTCCGTGCTCTAATATTTACACAAGTGTTGCTTTTATACTTATTTGCTACTCTTTTTTTTTTCCGAAGACGACAACTGTTGTATAACCTAATCAATTCTATACTAAGGGGGTGGGGGCGGACTTAAGGAGGCCCAGGAATTTTCCGAAGGGGACTGAACCACCACCGAACCAAACGGGTGCACAATACACCCGCCTGAATTTTTTGAAGCAAACCACTTAAATGTGGCATTTTGAACCCTTGCCTCCCACTCCACCAAGCTAGGTGGTGGGCTGGTGGTTTTATACTTATTTGCTACTCATGCTCCATACTTCGACGTTTACATAATTGCTGGTATAATATTTAAATACTATTACCCACCTTTACACAGCTACTGTTACAGTACTATTTTTATCCATATTACTATATTCATTTCAAGTCTCTCTACCAATTTTAATAAAGAAATAGAAAATTCCATTACCCTATAATTAATTTCTTTGCTATAACTAATTTGTTATTTTATATTTTTGCATTTTTATTTTTTCCTAAAATATGCGTACAGATCGAGTGTGCCTTACCTACTAGTTCTTTTTTTTTTTTTTTGCTAGTGCTTTTGTGCATCTTAACTTTGAGTGTCACAATTGTAAGGGTCTGTTTGGTTGGAAGTAAAATATTTTCCTTGGGAAAATATTTTCCGTGGAAGTAATTTTTCATGAAAATCATTTCCCTTTCATCATTTTCAGGTGTTTGGTTAGCTTATTGAAAATATTTTCTTACTTCATTTTTCTGGTGTTTGTTTAACTTTTGAAATATTTTCACTTTTATCTCTATCTTTACTTTCTACACATTATAACTACATACTTCTTCCCATGCAAAATAAGAAAATTTATCTCATTGTTTAACTTTAAAAAATCTTGGAGAAATGTATATATGAATAAAAAATATCTCCTTAAGCAATAAACAAATTGCTGGCCATTTAGTGTCAAATATCAATCACATGCAATGCTTATTGTGACATATATCTTGCACTCTCACTGCTGAAAGTTTCTCTAGAAAAGAATGTCCCTATTATACATAATTAATTACTAGCATAGGATGAGCAGGATGAGGTTTTTTTTTTATTTTGAATATACTAGGGGGAGGGTTGGGTTGGGTGGTACGGGGGATGGAGTGTAAGGAAGAGGTCTTGGGTTCGAGTCCTCCTGTTTACACTAAAAAAAAAAAAGAACATACTACAAGATGTTTTCAGTAAGTTTGGAACATACTACAGGCGGGATGCATGCATTTCGGAAAACAACTTCAGTAAGTTTGGAAGGGAAGTTGTTTTCCATAAGATGAGTGAAAATATTTTACATAGGAAAATGTTTTCAGCAACTTTTGTGCAACCAAACACGGGAAATTAGGAAAATATTTTCCTGAAAAACATTTTCACCCGAAACAAACGGACCCTAAGTGTTTATTGTTTTCATTAGAAAGAGAATGACAAAAGTCGTCTAGTCCTTATTATTTAAGTATTTCAAGTCTTTTAGTTACAATGATGTGTATTATATATAGGAGACGGATGGGTTGGATGATTAGAAGAGAAAGTGTAAATAAAAGATATCGAGTTCGAATCCTCCAATTTACATTTAAAAAAACTAAAAAAAGATGTGTATCATACATAAGTCATGTACTTATACACGCCTGAACTTTTGGAGAAATAGCCTATTACAATTCATTTATTTTCTCATTCCATGAATTTTCTTGCTAATTAATAAAAAAAAAGAGAATGGAATACACCATAGGTCTTAATTATAAGTCAAGTTTTTATAGTATTTTTCTTTCTTTCTTTCTTTCTTTTTTTGAGAAACACTCAATGGTCAAGCGTATATTGGTGTTTTTTTTTTTTTTTTTTTGCTTTCCTTCATCTTGGATTAAAGGAGCGTCAATTGACCGCATTCCTCCTGCCAAGGATAGCAAGTCATCAGATAAGACTAAACACGCGACGGGAATGACGAAACGACACCATCAGAGTCAAAATTCTGAAATTTATCATCAGATAAAACTAAATACGCGACGGTAATGACGATTACGACGCTATGAGAGTCAAAATTCTGAAATTTATTTTTTATTTTTTACTTTTTTGGGCACCGCGGGCCCGGGGTTCCCAGTCCGTGGAAGGCAGGATAAAGGATTTGCTTAAAAGGAGCACGTGGTGGATATGGTCTGAGCTGGTAAATGGCCATCCTCCCCACACGGCCAATCCAATCCTCCGCCACCACCAACCACCAACTCAGAGACGGAGAAGAGGCCCTTAGGCGCCGCGTCCTGGCCTGCCAACAAATCCACCCTACGCTCTATTGTTCTCTCTCATCAACTTAATCATCTTATTTTGTTGATTTTCTGCGGGTTCGGATTTCGACTGGGACTTAGGGTTTGGGAAGCTCCGAAAGAAATGTTAAGCAAGCAGGGGGAAGAAGGAGGAGCAGGGGGAAGGTTTTACTGGGTAAAAGGTGAACAAGAGTCCGGCTGTGTTAAAAAGAGCAGAGGAATTGTGGTTGTGTTTGCGTGGTGGGGCTCAATTCAGGAAACCCAATTGAAGGATTTCACTGATCTCTACTCCTCGCTGGGTTGGAATTCTCTCGTTTGCCTCGCCCATTTTCTTAATCCGTAAGCTCAACCTTTTTTTCAACTCTCTTTCAACTTTACCATTTAGTTTTGAATTACTAGTTACTGCTACCGTACTATATATATCTATAGGAAAAAGTTACTACTGCAGTGTCAATATTACCACTATATCATCATTACTTTATGGGTCATCTCTATTAATTGTATTTTCTTCTCTCTCTGGTTTACAGATTCACCCCTGAGAGGGCCACATCGCTAGCATTTTGTATTGTTAGTCAGCTTGTTGAGGTCAGCTTCTCGTCCCTTCTTTTAACTTAGTTCATCTTTGTTCCTCCACTTGGATTGTATGCCATCAATTGGGTTATTTGTGGTTTGTTTAATGTGTGAAACATGTGTGGACTGAATGATTAGATGAGATTCATGCTGTTGTTTAATCATTTAAAATAAGGTTTCATGTTATCTAAATTCAGTAGTTTGTATGAATTTGGTGGAGCACTCTTTTTTTTAGGTGAAACTTGATGCTTTCCATAAGTAATTGCTCAACCTGTTATTTTCTTCTTCTTGTTGTTACTAACTCAATATATGGTGCTATTATGGGAACTGATAATTTAAGTTTGTTTTGAATCCAAGATAGTGTGAACTTGTTTCATTTCTTCATACTTTGTTCACCGGGAGAATATATTTCTGCACAAATGTAGGAGCTAAGGTCAAAGCCATGTCCTATAGTCCTTGCTTCTCTTTCTGGTGGTTCACAAGCTTGCTTGTATAAGGTCTTTCAGGTATACATACTGAGGTTAACTATGCTGTATAATGCGGTCCTGGTGCTAAGATTTTCTCCTCTACTTTTGCCACTTCTGTATAACTTATTTAAACATTACGCAGATTATTGATGGAGGATGTGAAGTCCAGCTCAATTTGGTATAGTTCTTATCTGTATCTGCTTTATACTGTACATCATGGATTTTGTGTATCTTGAAAGGTCAGCGTCTGTTCGGCTTACTGAGTAATTGCTTATAATCTGAAGAATGACAGTAGATTGGTTAGAAGTTGCATCTCGGGTTAAATCTACGACTCTGGTCCTGTTGATGTTACCAGTGACTTAGGTGCAAGATTTTCTGTACACCCCACTGTCCTGAAGATGCCTGGTTCTGCTAAGCTTGTGTCCTTTGTTGCAAAAGGTGTCACTTCTGGACTGGATGCTCTATTCATCACAAAATTTGGATCCCAGCAGACAGATTACTGGCAGAGTCTTTATTCCTCAGTTGTATGTTTCTTGTTTAACTTTGATGTCTGCAAGTTGTGAATTCATGGGTTTTTACCTGACATTGTTAATGGGTTATTGTTCACAGAGCTTGGGTGCCCCTTTTCTCGTGCTATGCTCAGACTGTGATGATCTTGCTCCATACCCCATTATATGCAACTTTTCTCAGCGTTTACGAGATGCTGGAGGTGCTGTAGAAATCGTGAAGTGGAAAAATTCCCCTCATGTTGGTTGGTCTTAAACTATCTACTGAGATGTAATTTTTTAGTTTCAGATTTGAGCACTTAATATGTTTATTTCCATTGTTTTGCACTAGCTTCCTGCCTTCATCAAGCTTGTTACTATAAAAAGTATAGATTTTATGTGCTGTATGCTGTATTGCAGTTACACATGTTTGACATTTTTGCTTATCATTGACATGCACCGTGTTTGCTGGCAAATATTACCTTGTAGAGTTTCTTTACCTGCTCCTAGTTCCAGTTAACCTCTAGATTTGAGCGCTTTTAATGGTAGTTTATTTAAACTGTGCTGACCCTGTTAATCTCATTACAGGTCATTACAGTAGCTATCCAATTCAGTACAGAGCTGCTGTAGCAGAGTTGCTTGAGAGATCAAATTCCATATTCTTTCATAAAATCCAGAGACTTGGAGAGCAAATTGGCACTGACTTGGGCGGTATGCCTGGTGAAATATCTGATTTGATATGTGATCTCCAAAATGCAGCTGTTAATTCAAATCAAAGCCTTAGAAGAGTTGCAGTTGGACCAGAAGACCACTTCTTCTTACCAAGTTCAATGGAACATGACAATTTTAGAGACTCGCGCTCTTCTCAAGAGGATAGGAAGGAAAAATTACCATCTGATACAAACCCTAGGATGGATGCACATGGTGTTCTTGGCCAAATCCTCTTTGATGCGTGTGTCCCGAAAAACATTGAAGGTTGGGATATCAAATTTTCTGGTGCCTTGAACGGCCAGCCATTTGCTTCTGCTTCTAGGCGTTCACCCTTGAAGGCTATCAAATTTATAGGTCGTTCAAGATTGTGACCAGGTCTGATATGAGTTGACGTATTTGAGGTAAATTTTCTAATTATGTTTAGTAAACTGCATTCTTTAGATAAGAATGGCATGTCTCTGAGAAATAAAGTTGCATAAGAGGTGATTTTGCCAAGGATTGAGCGACAAATCCGTTTGTCGGGTACTTTGTAGTGTGAGGGGTATATATGCCTGTGATACTGTCAACTATGTATATTGGTGATTAAAAATGACAAATCTTTTAGTAGCTGCTGAAAGCATATGGCTCTGAGCGAAGGAAGGGTAGAAGGGGGTGTCCTTTCATCTTTCTGTGACACGCTTAAAAAGCCATTGTAACCTGTATTGCTATGGCATGTTCAATAGGAGTTCGAAGCTATGGGTGCCTGCAGAGCACGTGATGGAAGATAACGAGCCTACTTTTGTAAATAGTGTTAATATATGAGGTTTTTTTTGGAAGGAGTGTTAATATGTGAGTTGAAAGACGGAATTACTTAACTGTTACAAGCGTATTAACCCTGGTTTTTTGTTTAATTTGTTATTAGCATGTTATTAAGTCCTGCTTTTCCTTTTTTATTCCTTCTTGTCCAACATGTAACACAAGAAAGAAAGCGGAGGGAAGTGACCTTTTCACATTGTTCGACTTTGTGGTCCATGTTTTCTGCATTTGGAAATTGTGTTCGATTTCATAGTCAATGTCTTTTGCAGAACTATTGTCAAGGAAAATAATGTGCTTGGAAAAAATGTAAATACTTATCGGTAGTAATAATCATTTCCTTGTATTTTCCGTTGGAAAAAAAAAAAAAAAAAAAACAGATGACCTTTGGTCATTAATTCACTCACTCAATAGAATGCAATACAACCTTGACATTTAGATTAGGAATATCCCTTGATCTTCTACGAAATTGTAGCCCTGGGCCATCAATTTAAACATTACCTTGTAGTATCTCTCTTCTTTTCGTGTGTAAAAATATATTTGAAGTCATAGTTTTTTCTTTTTTCATTTTAAACAGCTATTCCATTCGAATAATAAGAACCGTACAAAGGACCAGGTTGTTTGGAGAGTTTTTTTTTTTTTTTTTTGTCTTTAAAATTATTGTAGCATTTTTTAGAATGTGACGTATGTGGGGTAAAGAAGTGACTGAGAACTGTGTAAGAAAGATATTCATGAAAAATGAAAAAATTTTCCCTTAAAACTAGCAATTCAAACAAAAAACTTCTAATGCAATTGTGGGGCATAGAACATTAAATAACTTTGTGGGGGAAATTCCAAAATTACCATGGCTTATTATTTTGAGAAAAAGCGATTTACAGCTACAATTCTTATTGAAAATTGAATTTTGACAGGTAGATTGTCAATCATTAGGTTTTCTTTTTCTTTTTCTTTTCTGAAAAATCTTAATAATTAGTTGGATAGGCCTCGAACGCCTAATGAGGTCATTATTCAAGTGATCATTAACTCGACATGGATCATTTACTACAACTGACATGACTAAATTATTCTCGCTTAATTCGCAGACCATGGTAAGTTATTTTCAATAATAGATATCTCGCAGCTTTGGTTTGCCTTGTTTAAAGGTAAAATTGTATAGTTGATGTGCTCCTGGACAGGGCAATACATCCAAAAAGCTGTAGGCTAGTAGCTAGTGTAGCAAGTGATTGATTGCTGAGGTTCATCTTTCTTTTTTTTTTTTTCCGGAAACGGTAGATGGTATTTTATATAAACTGAACTTTACAAGATTTGAGCAACAGTTTGAACAAATTCTGAGGTTCATCGACTCCTTATTAATTGAATGGGTAACAGTTTGAACAAATTCTGTCTGGAGTCACGGTTTATTCCATAACTCATAGCGTCCTCTACGAAAACATACAAGAAAAATTTCCAGCTTCACTACTGTTTGTTTCGATAACTGGAGACCAGTTGCTTCCCTCCACGGCCTGAGCGGTGGTAACAGCATGCCATAATATCCCAACAACTAACGGCAGAGCAAACTTCAGCACTTTTAATTGAAAGGCAATTAAATGCTAAATGTTTGTGGTATTCGACAGAAATTTTGCAGATCGTTTAGCTGTATTTTGAAATAGTAGTATTAATTTACAGCTAAATTGGTACTAATCCGCAATTTCATATACTTCAAAACAAATTGGAATGTCTTAAAGCACAAGATCATTACCTAGTAAAATTGTATCAATAGAAAAAAGAGAAAAGCAAGAGACTTTTGTTTATACTTTTTCTGAACAAGAAAGAGAAGTGGAGATACAGATTTAGAGAAGACGTCCACACCACCAACCCCAGAAGTTGTTTTGTCCTTGACAAGAAATCTAAATTAATCAACCACGAACTCGGCTCATAGAACCGAGCCCTTTAGAAATTTCATGAATAGGAATCCCCGGATTGAATCCCAAGCAGCCCAATAACCCCTGCTTGTAAGGCAAGAAAGTTTTCTTCCTGAGCTCCTCTGAGACTGCCCTGTTTGCCGTGTAATGCAATTCGTGAGCTGAAGCTTGGCCTCTCCTCTTGGAGCTTGATACTGATGAACCAACACTATCAGTTGATCTGAAGCTCGAGTTTTTCACATCCTCTTGCTCCGTATTATTCTTCTTCAACGTAGAATACTTGTTTAAATGATCTTTACTCATAGCTCTCCCCTCTGATGCACTTCTAAACAGCAACAAGTCCTTGAGCTTCCACTTTCTATACCAAAACCACGAAAAAGAAGAAGAGAAAGAAGAAGCTGAATTGTTCTTTGCATTCTGTTGATTGTTCTCTCGATGATCGAGTAACAAGTCCGAGACCCTAAAAGGGGACAAAGATCTGGTTCCTTTTTGCCTAATGGAGGGCGGCTTCTGAGTCCTTTCTCGGCCGCGTTGAACTTGATCATCATTTCTTCCAGGACGTTCTTGGGTAATGGCAGTTCTGGTGCTGGTGCTATATTCTGTTTACGAGTTTGTTCGAGCGCCGCCGCAAACGGGTCAAAATCCTTCATTTTATGTCGGGGTGACAATGCCTCTTTGATCTTCTTCTTGGGTGATCGAGGCGACTTCGGGCTCAAAGAATCAGCAACAGCTGATTGCAATCGAGGCGGCGGCTTCAAAGGCTTGATCTTGCCCCCATCAAAGAGCTCATCAGCAGATAAAGAACTCGACTCCAACTGCCCGCTGAAATCGAAAGCGAACTCTTTATCCGCATAGTTATTAGAATTAACATCCCTGATCAAAAGGGATTCTTGAGCCTTGGGCATTCCAGGCTTTTCTTCCCAGTTGAATGGAACTGCAGACAGAGACTCGTGTCGTGGGAGGTCTCATGATCATCATGATGAAGGGAGAAGTTATTGAAGTCGGCGTAGAAGGAGGAAGCCCGGGTGGGGCTTGTCGGGGCGCTGAAGAAGAAGGTCCCGAAGCGCTGGGGACTTGAAGGGGCGCTAATGTACGGAGAAGTGCATGTACTGTCGAAGTTGAAGTCCACCGGAGCCGATGGCATCATTACTTCCATCTCCATATTTGTTAAGACTCTCCAGAGAGTTTGTAGTGAGCTGCTTAAAACATGGGTTCTATATCTGTACGTACTACTACTAATGGAGTAGTTAAAGATTAAACACTCGAGAGAGGAGAGGAAAAGCAAAGCGGAGAGGAAAAAGAGGAAAGGGCAAGGAAGGATACGAAAGAGGGTCAGTGATTGACCGGAGAGACACCGCAGCAGCAAGCGCTGCAGGGCCGCCTTTTAAATCTGTCTCTACATATCTAATGCTATTCTCCCCATCGATGGGGACTCTTCAACCACTCCCGCTCTAGTTTACCCAATTTAGCCTTCTCAACGATACAGGCCTCAGAAAGAAACTGAGGCCAGCAACTCAGCGTACTCTAGTGTTTTAGCTCTTGGATGGGTGCGGCTACAGGAGTTTACAGTTTTTATAGACGCCCCTTCTGATTTTTGAACCACAATTAAGGTTGCTTCGATTGCACTTTTTGAACAGTTTTTGAGTCACTGTATTACTTTTATATGATGTGACGTTGTTTGTAAGATAAAAAAAAAGATTGAAAATTGTGCAAAAAAATATTCATAAAATGTGTAAATTTTTTTGAAAAAATAGCAATCCAAACAAAGTCCAATGATCATATGTAAATGTTTAGTAGATGGCTTTTTCTTTGAGGAATTACTTAGGATCAAGAATGGTTTATTTACTTGGGCGTGGCACAGCACAGGCAAATTTTTAGTTCCATAGTTAATTTTGGTAAAGCTACAAAACTAGTAAGTGCTTTCAAGTCTACATTGCTTCCTCCAAAAAAAAACAAAAAAAGGCTACATTGCGTTTGGGGTTTGGGAGGGCAATGCTGGCATTTCATCGAATAATAAATGGTGGAAATAAAATTCAAGCTCCGGAGTAAACGTCAGCCGTTTACTTGAGGGATTTTGGACTGCAAATGGGAATCTCGGAATTGTTTTAGATAGTAGCGTTTGTTTGGGAAAAAAAGTCAAGGAAATAAATTTCCTGCAATTTTTGAAACTTTTTGCTGCTGAAATTGATAGAAAAGTGAGTCATAAGAAAGTTTCAATTGATAAGATTTTTTTTTTCCCAGAACTTCTTTCTTCTTTTTTCTAAAGTATTTCCTCCATTCTAAACTTCTACATATTATAATTCAAACAGCCGGCTTGTAGTTAGATATATTATTCTTATTTTAACAATTAATGAATTAGTAATTTATTGAATTTATATGACATTAGTATCTTTTCTTTTACATTTTATGTTTCTTTTTTATGTCTGTATATTTTTGAAATCACTTATTGTTAAAGAATGTCATTAATTTTCAAGTAAACAACCCTTCCAATAGCAAAATGTTATAATTATTACATGTTTTTACATACACTCCAATACCAAAAAATGAAGAAATTCACTATTGAATATATTTTTTTATTGACGAACATACTAACCAATTTTTCCATGACTTTTCGGCTAAACAACTATAAGAATTTGTATTTTCTTACACCATTTTTTTATTAACCAAAAAATTAATTTCTTTTTCCTTTTATCTCACTTCACTTCACATTTCCACGACGACGGCACACTTTCTTACACGACTCTTCTATCAAACAAACAAACAGAGCCGTAAAGCGTACCGATTCTTTTGAGGATTGGGCAGTCTTGCTTGTGCTAATGGTCTATTTGAATTTTAAAATGCGAAATGATTATGGATAGGATAGTTAAGGGGATGATTTGACTGCGATATTATAATTCCCGATCTTCCGTCTACAGCCTTGCCTTTGTGATTTAAATCGTCAGGCAGGCGATTCAAAACCACGGCAACCGTTACAACTTACAACCGTCCGTCCAGCGATTTTCTTTTAGGTCGTGAGGAGTATTCGTTAATATATTTAAATTTTATAGATATTAATAATTATTATCATTCATTAAAAATATATGTATTTAAATTAATTTTTTTCTTTTCTAAAATCTATTACTTGAACTACATCTTGACAGATGGACATCAATTAGCCAAACCATTTTTTTTAAAAAAAAATTATTCCGACTACCTACCCAGTTGACAAGGAAATTGCTTCCTAATTCATACACCTTTTTCTTTCCTAATTGCTTCCTGATAAGTGTAACATATTAAAGTTCAAAAGGATGAGTGAATTCTTGGGATACAGATAATTCACATCATATATAACTCAAAAAGTTACATACAATTCACTC